CATAACTGTTTGGCCAAGCTACCGTCAACCCAAAAGCCTAAAAATATTCAACTCATTTCATGTGTGTAACAGCGAAGATACAATGATACCTCTCTCATGGTTCAGATGCAGATGAAAACGGACCCCATCCCAGTGTGACTGAATCTCCGGAGCCCGAACTAAGTAAGCTCTGTACCTTTAACTAAAACCGTTCTCCACCCCGAGCCGCTCGCTTTTCAGCTAGGGGCAGCAACTCTGCTAGCTGGCAATCGCGCCGGAAGGAGGTTCCCCGTCTAGTTCCCCACCCCATCCCCTGGAAACCTCAACCACCAAGCTAACATCGCGAACGGGGCTCAGCACCTCGGAAACCAGCCCCACCGTGGTTGACGCTCCTCCGGAGGGGGGCCGGGCCTGCTTGCAGAGGCTTCCCGGCCGTCGGCCGCGGGCTACGGGCCACACTGCCCCGCGGTCGACCCGGCGTTTCGGGGGAACCCCACGCCCGGCGCTGCGGGGTCACCTCTGCACCCCGCGATCGCCGCCCCGGTGCAAAAGGCGCCCTTGGCTCTCGGCCGGCGGCCTCAGGGGATGGAGGGCGGACTGGCCTGGGTCTGGGGATTGCTGGAGTGGGGTTGGGTACACCGAAGGGGCGAATGTCGGCTGGGCGCCAAAGTTTAGGGGCCAGGTCGGGGGAGCTGCCGGGGAGACGCGGGAGGGAGTGCGCGCCGCCGGCGGGACGACGGGGCCCCAAACCCTACCTTCCCAATTCCTCCCCGCCCCCAAGCTGGAGGGGCCGGAAGCCCAGTCTCCATGGTCCCGCCTCCTGCGCCTCGCCCTGTGACGTCACTCCGAGTGACGACACTACCATCCAATGAGCTCTCAAGTTCTGGGAACCGCTCGCGTCCTTCACGGTAGCAACGCGGAAGGCAGTCAGGTCCCCCTTAGGAGCCCGCGAAGTGACTTCTAGGTGGAGTTAGTTTAGGGGGCGTCTGTACTATGGGGACCAAAGCTGCGGTTCCCCTGTCTACTAATGTCTGATAGTCGCCTTGGCAACCCATCTTGGAGTCACTAATGACATCGCTTTGATGGTCTGTCCCTCTGTCCCTTCAAACTCTGAAACTGCCTGGAGGTCTCTGGTTGGCGGAGGAGGTTGTGAAGTCGGGGTGGCAGAAGGGTCAGCATTGGGAAGGAAAACATCCCTCTTCTGCAGGGTCGAAGGCTGGAATGCGGCCGCAATCTTCATATGGAATTTGAATTTCACTAAAGAAACTGGTTTCTTAATGTTGTCGCTTGGTACTAGTTTGTGTAGAAATCTCAATATTTAAAATACATTCTAAAGTAGCTGTTATACAAGATAGGCATTGCAGGGAGACTTCAGTTCCTAGGGTAGGCAACTAAACCAGCTTTGGAAAGTGAAAGTTTTGAAAGCATTCTTGTTCCCATTCATTTATCCGGCTTTTAATTTTTTTCAAATTTTATTTCATTTATTTTTTAGAATCGTATGTAGTACAGGTTGGTCTGGAACTTAACAGGTAGCAGAAAGTGATCTTGAACCCCTGAACCTTCTGCCTGCCTTCTGAGTGCTTGGACTACAAGTGTGCACCACTACGACCGACTTGGGCTCTTTTATTTATTTTTGTTTAAATTTTTTTGAGGCAGGGTTTCACTGTGTAGCTCTGGCTGGACTGGAACACGTTATGCAGACCCACTTGCCTCTGCCACTGGACTGCTTGGATTTAAAGGTATGTACCACCATGCCCGGCTCAAATTTTTCTCAATCTTTCTCTCTCTGAGAACTCTGATGAAAAAATTATGAACTGTACAAAATAGAATAGTTTCTGAGGGCCGGGTGCGATAGCACATGCCTTTTATCCCAGTACATGAGAGGCAGACAGGCGGATCTCTCTGAGTTCGGTCAGCATGGTCTACAAAGTGAGTTCCAAGACAGCCAGGGCTACACAGTGGGATCCTGTTTCAAAAGAACCACAAAAGAGAAAAGAAAAAAGAAATGCAGGCTGCTTTGAATCCACAAAAGTGTATTTCAACTAAACCTCCGACGACTTAAAATAAGCAAAACTTCTCGGTTTGGCCGCTAGGGGTCCCTTTGTGCATGCCCGACAACTTTCCACATTGGGGTTTCGTTTCAAAATCGCTCTTCAAGAAGAATTAAAATTTACGAAACTTACGTCCTTTTCCCGCCTTCAGACAGGGTCTCACTGTGCAGCCCTGGCTGGCCTGGAACTCACTATGTAAACCCGGCTAGCCTTGAACTCACTGAGATCCTCTTGCCTCCTGATCACCACCACACCAAGCTAAAGCTTTCTTTCTTTTCTCTCCCTGAAAATTCTGATGGTAAAATTATAAGGTCTACAATAATAATTTTAATATTGATTTCATAAGTGAATCATTGCATTATTATCATAAACTTTTCTGGAAAAGATTAGTAAAGGATGCAAAAGCATTTCTCTCATTTCATAATGAGATATTTTATACTGGAAAAATTCTTATCCGTGTATTATATTCACTTACAAACAGGCACAGTAAAATTTATTCAGTATGTATAAGCAGATGAACTATCCCATACACAATATTTGAAATGTAGATTTTTCTAGCATGGTCACAAGTCAGCAATCTAATTCTTTAAAAAAAAAAAGGGGTGGGGGTGGGGAGATAAGAACCCTTCTTATGAAACATTTAAAGCAATGAATACTTTCTCCAGGCTTGTATATTTTATCAGACTTGACATTTGGTTTTTAGGATAAATGTAAATTATATCTATGTATCTAAACTTTTTTTCAGAAGAGAAGCCCCCAAAAGTTTTTACTGCCATAACTCTGACAAACCTATTCTGTTTCTGTCTTGATGAGTTGTTTGCTCATTTGCTATGAAGAGTTAGCATGTTTTGAACCTCCGAATATGTTAGATGATGAAAACATAAAGTGTTATGTGTGCCTGTTTCCCAAAATGAAATCTTTAAGGACATTTATGAGATCCTTAAATGGGAAATCCAAATGCCTGATCAAAAAAGCAAGAGCGGGCTGGAGAGATGGCTCAGCCGTTAAAGGCTAGGCTCACAACCAAAAATATAAAAGTTCGGTTCCCAGCACCCACGGCTGTCTCTCCAGCCATTAAAAAAAAAAAAAAAAAAAAAAGCAAGAGCATTATAGGAGTTGGAAAGTGGAAAGGACTGGGAGAGGATCAAGCTAGGTTCATATCACTCACCTTGTTCACCTTTTTTATTTTATTTCTCTCCCCCCGACACACACAGGGTTTCTCTGTAGCTTTTGGAGCCTGTCCTGGAACTTGCTCTATAGACCAGGCTGGCCTCGAACTCACAGAGATCCACCTGGCTCTGCATCCCGAGTGCTGGGATTAAAGGCATGCGCCACCACCGCCCAGCACCTTTTTTATTTTATAAATCTGCCTATTTATAAATGAAATTTTGATTTTTTTTTTTTTTCGAGACAGGGTTTCTCTGTGTAGCTTTGCGCCTTTCCTGAAACTCACTTGGTAGCCCAGGCTGGCCTCGAACTCACAGAGATCCGCCGGCCTCTGCCTCCCGAGTGCTGGGATTAAAGGCGTGCGCCACCACCGCCCGGCGAAATTTTGATTTCTTAAGTGGTAGTAATACACAAAGGATAGGTTTAAAACAGTGAAACGCCTGGCCCCGTAGTCCTAGCCTGTAATCTCAGTTGCTGGGTAGGTTGGGGAAGGAGGAATGCTTCAGTCCAGTTGGACACTAGCCTGGGCAACACAGCAAGCCCTATCTCAAAATAAATGAATCCGATTAAACAGAAAATGGTTACAGATTAACTGAGAATGGTGGTTTGTGTTTATAATCCCAGTACTCTGGAGGCTGAGGCTGGAAGATTGCCATGAGTTCAAGGCCAGTTTGGGTTAAACAAAATTTTACAGATTAACTGTAAAGTAGGCTAGGGAGCTGGTTCAGTACAAAAGGTGCTTGCCACTATGTCTATAACTTACATGGTGAAAGTCTGGAACCAACTCCCACAAGTGTCCTCTGATACTAACACACAAAAAATAATTTATATATATATATATATATATATATATATATATAAATTTTTTTTTTTGAGACAAGGTTTCTCTGTGTAACAGCTTTGGCTGTCCTGGAACTTGCTCTGTAGACCAGACTGGCCTCTATATCCACCTGCCTCTGCCTCCCGAGTGCTGGGATTAAAGGCGTGCGCCACAATGCCTGGCATAATTAATAATATTAATTTTAATAATAAATAATTAAAATAGCAAAAACAATAGTAATGCCCCCCTCAATGGTGGCACACACCTTAATTCCAGCACCTGGCACTTAGGAAGCGGAGGCAGGAGAACTATATCAGTTCGAGGCCATCCTAGCCTCCATAGAGAGTTCCAGGACAGCCAGGGACCCTGTCTCAAAAATCTAAATAAATAAATAAAATCAATTGAATTGTTTTCAGTATTACCCTTAGTATTAATAGTCATGTTAACAAACATATATTTAGTACCCATTAAAATCACTGAACTGGCCGGGCGGTGGTGGCACACACCTTTAATTTCAGCACTCAGGAGGCAGAGGCAGGTGGATCTCTGTGAGTCTGAGTCCAGCATGGTCTACAGAGCGAGTTTTAGGACAGCCAAGGCTACACAGAAAAACCCTGTCTCAACAAAACAAAACAAACCTCAAAAATTAAAAAATGGAAAAAAAAATCACTGAAATGTAGAAATTTTATAAAATTCTGAGGTGGTGGGCTGGAGAGAGATGGCTCAGTAGTTAAAAGCACTTGTTCTTTCAGATGGCTCAGCAGTAAAGAGCACTTGTTAATTCAGAGGATCAGGGTTCGGTTCCCAGCACCCACGTGGTTGCTCACAACCATCCATAAAGACAGTTCCAGCAGGCCTGACACCCCTTCTGATCTCCTCCGGGGACCTGGCACGCACAAGATGTACATATATACATGTGAGCAAAACACTCCTAAATATAATTATAAAATCTCTAAAATTAATTCTGAGGTGGTATTTGAAAAGAGAAACACATCAGAAATCTCTCGAAATGGTGACAAATAGTTCGAGCACTGGTCGTGTCCACGGAGAGTATGACTCTTCGTAGTGATCGGGTTCTGCAATTCTCAGAACAGACAGCAAGAGTGGGTATCGGTTTCCTCATCTGATCGCTACGTATGTTTCTTCGGTAAGCTCAGGTCCCTGGGTTGAATGTTCTAAGTAATTACCACCAGGCCCCAGGAAAACTCCCATCTGCACGCCCCGCTTCGAGACTGTTTCCCGGGCCCTGTCGTTGTTTTTACTCGTATTTCCTAGAATGGGGAGGGCTGGAGGTTTGCAGAGCACTGCCTCCTTCCCCTCACTCTCGGGTGATCGCTCTGGGACAAATACCCCCACGTCACTCGGTGCGGAGGTCTGGCCCCGAGCAGCAGCGCAGGGCTGGGGCACGTGACCCGCCCGCAGTCCTCGCTGTGGCCCGCGGCCTGGGATGCAGTCGCGCTGACGTCCTCCTGGTTACCCACAAGCCTCTGTGCCCTGGTGCGGGCAGGAAGAGGGCAGCCGGGTCCAGTGCCTGCCCGGGAGGTCGGGGGTGCCTTTCCGAGCCGAACGCGGACGCAGCCCGGCATCCCCCCCGGCAGTGCTTGCAAACTGGCAGCCTTCCGTCTCTCCCCGGGGCGGAAAGGGAGACAGCCCAGGTTCAGGCTCTGGTCCTTTAAAGTGCAGCCCCGGGTCGGGACGCCGGGGGAGCCAGGGCGCTCTGCTGACAGCTGTCAAGAGTGACAGCGACTCCCCGAACCTGAGCACTGGCCCCGGTCTGCGTAATCGCGCACGGGTCATTAGGTTCTTCCTAACATCTAGGAATCGTAGAGCAGGGCCGCTCGAGTACCATATGGCGTCTAGTACGTGCTGCCGTTTAGTAAGTATTAGCCTCGCAGGCCCGACCCGGCCGCCCCTCCGCACCAGCCCTTCCTGTCCCTCTGCCTCATCGCCTGCGGTCTCGCGTCCGCTCCAGACTCTCGCGCGCCCCTCCTCTCCGCAGCCGACGAGCCCTCTTCCTCCTTCGCTCCCGGCGCCCCGGCCCCAGGACTGCATTTCCCGGCAGGCACCGCGGCCTGTGGCCAATGGGAGGCCTAGGATTTGGCGGCGGCGGCGCCGAACGGGGCGGGGGGGCTTTGTGCGCGGAGGCGGCGGCAGCGGCGGCGGTGGCGGCGGCGGCGGCGGCGGCGGCGACGGCGGCGGGAGCTGGCGGCGCGGAGATCCGGACGGAGGCCGAGGCCGGGGCTGTGTGCCGGGCGCCTAGGAGAGGTGTGCAGTTTTCGATCGAAGCCCCGGGACCCCGCTGCCCTTCGGGGCCGCCAGCCTCCGGCTCCTCTCCGGCACCAGCAGCTACTCGGCGACCCCCGTCCGGCCGCCTCCCCTTCGCTCCGCGTCGCCCGCAGCCTTCCGTCTGCCCGCAAACGAGCCCGGCCGGCCGGGCCGTGGCCCTCCTCAGTGCCGGCCGCCATGGCAGGGGCGCTCGGCGCGAGGGAAATCTAGTCCGAGGATTTCATGCGGCCTAGCTCGGTTCCGTCTCTTGCGCCCGCGGTCCCGGCAGCTGCCGGCAACCCAGCCCCACTTCGGGCCTCCGTGTCTCTCCTGTGATCGTACTGACACGGCCGGGGGGGTTAGAATGGAACAAACTGAAGGTAAAGTGCTTGTGCGTGCGTGTGTGTGTGTGTGTGTGTGTGTGTGTGTGTGTGTGTGTGTGTGTGTGGTGTGTTGCGCGTCAGGGGCTGAGGAGGCTCCTTGGGGTGGGGGCGACCTAAGACCTAGACACCGGTAAGGAGTGAGACCCTGGAAGGGGAGTTGCCGCGGGTGGTCTGAAAAGGGTTCGAGGAAATAAGAGCAGATGGTAAGGTGGGTGTGGAAGGAACTGGGAGGTGGGGCAGGTAGGCTTGGGATGTGATGTAGTGGTGCTGAGCTGGGAATTGGGAGTAGAGGTGGGATGGGGGCGGGGACAAGGATGCAAACGGGGGAGGGGGAGGGAAGAGAAGAGTTAGATTTGGACGTTAGAGACCTCGGTAGACTGCAAATGAGGGAGGTCTGGAATGGAGTGTGGAAACTAGAAGAGTTGGGGAAAAGGGATAGGAGAGGATTGATGGAGAACGAGGCATCTTCTGGGAATCCAGGGAGAAACTAGTGAATCAAAGTGGAGGAAAAGATAAGATTAGGAAATGGGGATGAAAAATGATGGTGTCAGGATGCAATAGCAGGGTAGGAAATAGACGCAGGAAACTGAAAGACATACGATTAGGCTAGGGAAGGACATTAGCTGAGTGTTGGAAGGGATGAGAATTATCGACCAGGCGTCACAGAGTGTGAGGAAAAGAGGGATGGGGATTATTGAAGTGGTTAGAAAGGAAAGCCTTTTGTTCCTATATTTGTGTGTATTCTGTCTTGTATTTCAAGGCTAGAGAAATAGAGAAGCTAGTGGTTATGGGTTGTGATTGTTGTGAAATGAGGGAGGTGTGGGTGTTACTGTTCTGAGAGAAGAGGAGATGTGTTTGTGTTATGGTAGGGAGACAGGGAGAGACATGGCCATAATTTGATGGTTTTGGTGAGGGAGTGAAGACTATTCAGATTTAAAGGGGGCAGGGGCAGCCATGTTTGCTACCAGGCACTGCAGTGTAAATAAATTCCTTTTCCTCTCCGACATCTGCGTGAATCTGGAACGGACCAGTTCACATTGTTACACCCTCCCCCCCCCTGCTATTCATGAACTTCTCTTACCTCTTGGGTCATTTACAATTACTCATAACCACCAAAGGAGGTAGCGATGTTTTCCGTCTTGTGTGTTTTGCTGCTGCTTCTCCCTTTCTTTCCCCTCTTCCTTCTGGTTGAAAAAAAAAAAAGCATACTGATAAATTGCAGTGTAAAATTCAGCCCTTTTTATAAATTTAAAATTAGATTTCTTTTTACTAACTGAAGAAATCATTACTGTCGTATTTCAAACATGACTGTGAAAAGTCTTAAATATTGATCGGTTTCAGACACCTCAGAAGCAAGTCAACATTTTTTTTTTCAATTCTTTAAGTAAACAAGGAAATTGCCTCGGTTATTTTACTTGGGGCACTCTTAGTAAGGGGTGGGGAAGATCAGCCTGTGGTAGATGATCCGCTTGCCTAATTTTGAATATTGGAAAATTAGAAACGTTCCTGGTGATAGGTGATATGCATGTTATGAGTGATGTTTTTTTTAATTAGCTTTCTATCAGCTCTTCGCTTTGCTTTCATGTAGCTGGCTCAGTGCAGTCTGGAAATGCCAGTTCAGCACAGCACTGTGATCTGTGAAGTGGGCATGTAAGCGTTAGGTCCTCATGGAGTCGCCAGCCTTTAGGGGTGGGTGGATGGGAAGTTCTGTCACTCTCAGGAAAGCTACATGTTCTTTCATGTATTCTGATATAACTGCTTGTATGATTCTGAATAGTTCCTAAGGGTCTAAATCTTGGTAAAGTAGATAAATTGGTACTGGGTGAAATCTGTTTTCTTTTCATATTGAAAAGGATTCAATATGCGCCTTACTTAAAAAAATGATTGTAATTGTGGTAATCCAAACTTTAGCCCATGTGTTAGTATTGAAACTGTTTTCTAATACCAGCAAGCCCTGTTAACTATATAATGGGTGTAATCCATTTGTACCACAGACTGATTCAACAAATCTTAGTAGTAATGTTCTCTCAGTTTTTGTGGGGTTTGGTGGAAAACTTAAATTTAATATTGTTGGAGTAGGACTTTCTGAGATTAGACTTGGCATAAATGTTGGATTTATAACGGGGTATTTTGATTTGACAATATATAGCCTGAACTTTTTTTTTTTTCCCTGGGGACAAATTCTGTTCAAAAAAGCCATTCAGCATGTACTTGGAATTTATTTTGATACAGGTATTTTATTTGTATTTCTTTCTTGATTGACATATTATTTGTAATTAGTAAACTTATGTGCATGAACTATTAGTGCCACTATTTTTAGGAAAATGAGCAATTGTATATTACAATAGAAAACATCTATTTGGAAGCTTGAATGAACCGTCTTAGAATGTTCTGTTCTGGGTTCCTTGGAAGAAAGCTACTGTAGTTATTAAACACCCAAAATCTAAATCTGCGCTGACCACTGCTCTGCTCATCATTAGCCTAGTTGGTACTTACAATTTTTTTTTTTTCTCGAAACCGAGTTTCTCTGTGTAAAAGCTCTAGCTGTTCTGGAACTTGCTTTGTAGCCCAGGCTGGCCTCGAACTCACAGAGATCCACTTGCCTCTGCCTCCCAAGTGCTGGAATTAAAGGCGTTCGCCACCATGCCTGGCTACAATTTTTTTAAATTATTTTTTTGTGTATGAATGTTTTGCCTGTATGTATGTCTGGGTCCATGGAGGCCAGAAGAGGTTGCTTGAAATTGGAACTATGGATGGTTGTGAGCTGCTTTGTGGGTGCTGGGAATTGAACCTGGGTCTTCTGGAAGAACAGCTAGTGCTTTTAACCACTGAGCATCTCTCTGACTCTAATTTTTTTTTTTTTTTTTTTTTTTTTTTTTTTTTTTTGGTTTTTTGTGACAGGGTTTTTCTGTAGCTTTCTAGCCTGTCCTGTCCTGGAACTCACTCTGTAGAGCAGGCTGGCCTGGAATCCACAGAGTGAATGCTGGGGTTACAGGCATGCGCCACCACTGCCCGACAACCCTAATACCTTTTCACTTGTTTATTGAGACAGAGTCTCATATGTTCCAGGCTGGCCTCAAGCTTTCAATATAGCTGAGACTGACCTTGAACTTCTGATCTTCTTCCATCTGACATGATAGCATGCCTGGTTTGTGGAGTGCTGGGGGTCCCACCTAGGGCTTTAAAAGCACTTTGCCAACTAAACTACATCCCTCTTCCCTTTTGTTCTGAGTGGCACATTCACAGATGGTCTTATAATGATTAAAGGAATCTTGAATGAAGGAAGCTAATTGCCCACAAAACTTTTTTTTTTTTTTTTTTTTTTTTTTTTTGGCCCAACTGTCCGGAGTCACTCTAAAGACAGTAGTTTCTGGAATTTTAAAGTAATAGTCTATATAATATACAGTAATAGCTATAGTAATAGTGTCCTCTTGCAGTGTGCTATGCTGTGTCCTTAGGAATGGTTTCCTTTATCTTCCCTGTGGTTTTCTGAGACTCGACTTCTAACTGCTTTTTGCACATGGAGAAACAGGTTAGATAACAACATTACAAGTGTTAGTGAATATTTAAATCACCAGGCTGGTATTTGAGTATAGGTCTTTTGGATTATAGAACCCAGAGCAGCAAACTGTTTCTGTTAGTTTCTTCTTTAAAGTCATAAGAACAACACATGCTTGTTATTTACAATATTTCAAAAGAATAGTGCCCCAAGTTCTCACTGTAACTACTTGGAAGTGTTTTGAGTGCCTGGACAGTTTCTGTGGATTTACTTAACATACATACAAAGGGCTCACACTCTAATTCTAGAACCCAGGCCTCTGAGCTACCCCTTGGCCTTTTCTTCTTTTACTTTGAGTTGCTCAGGCTGACCTCAAACTCTGTCTTCCTGCTTCAGTCTTCCATGTAGCTGAGATCCTGTGCAGCACAGTGCTGGCTGCTGTTTTCCTTAACTCGGTTAGCAGGCATGTGGACCTGCAACTTTCGTTAGAGTCCGGTAGTGGTCCACTATTTGGAATACTACCACTTAAGTTAACCCGTTCGTTTGTTTGTTTTCATTTTCTTTTTTTGAGGCAGGGTCTCACTATGTAGCTCTGGCTGTCCTGGAACTCCCTATGTAGACCATGCTAGCCTCAAACTCCTAGAGATCTGCCTCTACCTCTGCCTCCTGAGTGCTGGGATTAAAGGCATTCCCCATTAGGTCCAGCTAAGTTAATCATTCTCTTGTTAT